TCAGGCATTTTATTGCATCCACCCCTGGAAGTAAACAATGGGATAATATATCAGAATTGGAATGGATTAAAAAAAAATTCCATTTCCTTCTGTTAAAGCAAATAAACACAAATGCCTTTGTATGCAGTAAATTGTGTAAAGTGCTAAAGTATTGCAATAGCGTGGAGTCCTGTAGCTCAGTGGTTAGAGCACTCGCTTTGCAAGCGAGAGACCTGAGTTCAATTCCAGGCAGAGGGCGAAACCTTGGGCAAGTTTCCTTACTCCACACAGAGCCTAATAATAATCCCTCCAAAAACCAAAAACAATAATAAAAATTGGTCATTTTCAATCGACGACTGTTTGTGGGACATTGCTGTGCGCAATTGGCTGCCGCGTTCGCCCACAAATATACAGTCAATTCACTTTACAGTGTGTTCTGTGAAGCGCTTTGGGACATCCTCCCGACGTGAAAAGCGCTATATCAAATGCAAGGATTATTATTATTATTATTATTAATATCAGTAATGCCTTTTCACAGCGTTAAAATGATTACAAGTACAGATTTATACAGTAAATTTCTGAAGTAGATTCTATCAAATTGAAATGAAGTAGGTCTCTCATGTTTTCAAATCATAAGTTTCGGCAAACTTGAGTGAAGAAAAATCACATTCTAACTTGCTTTTTTTAAATTGATTCTGTTCCAAGACATTATAGGCCTTGCTTTGAAAACTGGAGAATAAACTAGTTTATTCTGCAGTCTAAAACACCAGAATTTCAAAAGGATTCCTTAATAAGAACGCTGTGTAAATTCTTATGGTAACTGGGAGTACATTGCACAGGAACTATTTCAATGCAATCTACTTTCAGAACGGAGTCTGTTGAATTGCTTCGGGTTACCAGAGAGATCCTCATTTATGTCATTTATGACTCTAGAGCAGAGGTTCTCAAACTATGGGCCATGTCTGCCCAGGGAGGTGCGGGCACGCACCAAGGGTGGCATTAGTTGCAAACCTCCAACTGTCTCAGATTTTGTGGGATTGGCCCTAGTCCCAGCAAAGCTGCACCCCTGACAACCAAATCCTGCAATGCTTCTCCTGACAACCAAATTCCACGTTTCCCATGAGAAACAAACCCCGCAATAATGCTTCCCACCACAACAATCTTCGTGATAACGGTGTGGTGGGGAAAAGACATCCAGACTGATTGACTGCTGCAATTTGTACTCTTTTTGAACAGAGACGTGAGATAACATGAAAGGTACTTTATGAAATAAAATTAGTACTTTTGACACTCATACTTTCATTATAACTATATTGATCAAAGCACTTGAACATTATTTTTCATATTCTTGTGAAGTGTAGGATTTTCAGTTCTTTGTGTTAATAAACTATGGGGTTGGGGAAGGCAATTGCTTTTTTTCTTAGCTTAGGGAGGCTCACAAAGTTTGAGAACCCCTGCTCTAGTGATCTTAAAAAATATTGCTTTACAACAACTTGCATTTATATCGTGCCCTCCAAGCATCTCAGAGCACTTAATAGTGGTGGAACCTCACTCCGGGGGGAGGGGGGGGGGTGTCTGTGGAAGGTGACCGTAAGTACAGTCAAAAAGGAAGGTTTTCAGGCAGGACTTGAAAAAAGGGACATGGGGCAAGGTGGAGAGATTGAGGGAGTGTTCCACAGTTTCAGAGGTAGTGGCTGGGTGGTGGATTGGGGAGTGAGGTCGGAGGGAAGTGAGGAGGTTGGAGATGTAGGGCGGTCCCAGAGAGTGAAAGGATTTGAACACGAGTGAGGATCTTGAAGTCGATCCATTCGATGATGGGGAGCCAGTGGAGCCTGGCCAGACCTGGTGAGATGTGGGTATGGAGTTTGGTCCGGGTCAGTATGTGGGCAGCAGAGTTCTGAATGAGCTGGATTTTTTGAATAGTGGAGCTGGGGAGATCGGCGAGGAGTGCATTTGAGTAATCCAGGCGGGAGGTGACAAACGCATGTACGAGGGTTTTGGCTGCAAGGTACGGTCAGAGGTGGGCAATGTGGCAGAGGTGGAGGAAGATGGTCCTGGTAAGTAACCGGATGTGGGGGAGGAAGGACAGCTGGGGGTCGAATTGGACGTCTCGATTGCACACTGCTTCGGTCAGTCTGAGGGAGAGACCAGGGAGGTTGAGGAGTTCAGATTCGTAGAAGTGAAGGCGTTGACGGGAGCCAAAGAGTAAGGCTTCTGTCTTGTCCACGTTCAGCTGCAGGAAGGTTGCGCTCATCCAGGCCCTGATATCTACCAGACAAGCCAATAGAACATCGGCAGACCGGGAGTCGATGCCGGAGGAGGCAAAGTAGATTTGGGTGTCAAGCCCTCAAATACCTAAGCAATCTAAAACTACAGTTTCAATAGTTATCCAGACATTCAAACCAATCGGATCAAAGAGTCGCAAAAACATATGCAAACATTACCTTTTGAAGAATGAAAAATCAGTCAGGCTTGCATCGTGTGATAAGAAATTCAATCCCAATTTGTGAATTTTAATTGCAGAAATGTTGCACATCTGAGAATGGACTATGTGATCATTCATTAATTAATTTCCAAAAGAACCAAATCCATATCTTCCATATTAGTCTGATTGCCCCATCCTTTCACAGATATACATCATATTAATGCCCTACTTAATAATAATCCTTGCATTTGATAAAGCACTTTACATCTTCTAGAAATCTGAGTGTTTTACAGAATATACTGTGAAGTGAATTGTCTGTATATTTTGTGGGCGAAACACGAGAGAGAATTGCACACAGCAGCGTCCCACAAAGAGACGTGGATTAAGTGACCAAATTATTATGTTTTTAAAAAGGGATTATTACCCCGGAAAAGTGATCCACCAATCGACTAACAACCGAGTTCCTACTTACTGCTAGGTAAATAGAGGTACGTGGAATAAGGAAACTTGTCTAATACCTGCTTGGGAATTGAACGTATTTCAGTAATTGCACACTTTTTAAAATAAAATTGAAAGTGTGGTGTGAATCAGATTTAAACAGCTCAGTTTAGGCTGATCTGCCTCAATATCGTAAGTCCTGTCTTTTGAGACATTAAACCAATCTCCATCTGCCTGTTCAAGTGGATGCAAATGAAATGCATGGACTTATTTATTTGGATACTCTTAAGCACGGTGATGGGTTTCTGCATATGTCAGACACCCGCCCAACAAAAAAAAGTCAAATGCATTACAACTAGGTCAATGGTGGGTTGGGGAAGAGGGGTCGCTAATTTCCTGTTTGAGAGCTGTACAATGTTAGCACCAAGGCCCTTAACATTGCTCATCGAATACAATCTGCTCTTTTACTTGCTGAATTGATTAACAGTGCCTGAAAAGGCATCTGAAGTGATCCTAAGGGATGATTCTTTTTAAATGAAGTATTTCACAAAATGTGTAAGAGAGCTACCTTGTGTTCGCTAAGCATTTTGAATCTGACAAGTCTGAATAATGATCTCTGTGGTACCGTAATACTCCAAGCCAAACTAAATACCCACAGAAACTTTCAGGAGTCTTCAGAAACCCATAACTATATGAGGCACTTTTTTGTATTTTTCAAGTTGTGTTTGGCGGGTAAATTAATGAACAATGTAAGATTACCTCCCACACGTATGATCTTTCTTTGGAAAAGTTCAATGTCCATATACCATCCTGTGCAACATACACATCCTGATGTTCCTCACCTTATTGTCATTTATAATTCCAGAGCGATTCATCGTTTGCAGTTTGGTAGGAAGGCTCAGAATGGAATTCAGGCATTTTAAATCCAGATTTATACTACACATTTAATATACCAAATTGACATCAAATGTGTAACATAAATAGGGCATTTGATTGTGTAAGTTAAATTATCTGCACTATATCCTTCAGCTCATAAAAAAATTATGTGGTTAAGATTTTAGACTTCACTACAGAAAGGTGGAGGGGTGGGGGGGGAAGAAAGATCACCCGACAAAACATAAATTTCTTAGGGACATTTTCTGTGACGGTTGTTTCTTCTCTTCCCCCTCCTATAGGACCCCTCCTCCCCCCCACCCCACCCCCGTTTGTATTTATTTTTAATAAGTAATAAATGACCTTATGGTAGGCTAATATACACTTGAAAGAGAAAACATCCACAGATTGAGGCCTTGGGAAATTAGATGCTTAACAGTTGTATCTAATGGTTAGACAGCTCTGCTACTTTATTATTAATGGCATAAATATTCTTAACTTTTCAGTATTGTTGTAACATATTAAATTTGCTATTATGTTTGAATATTAATACTAATAGCAAAGGTCAAGCCAAATTTTGGGAAACAAATAATCTGATTTTTAATGTTGTTGTAAATGTTAAAATCATTGTGGGATACAATGCTGAAAATGTCTGGGATATTTCAATTGCAAGTCTGGAAAACAATCTACACTATTCAGCTTCAGTAAAGCTGGAGGTTGTAATATCTCCAACAGTTCAATGAAACATAGGATTTTACTAACTCCAATATAACCATAGGACCAAAGAAAGTTCTGTTCAAAACAACTCGATTAAAACATTGCACTACAATTCACTAAGTACCATTGTCCTTTTGTTTGATTTTTTAATTCTGCCTTAGGGCCCTCATTCCAGTCATTAGTCCAAAATAAATAAAATAATAACAATTTGGTCACTTCAATCCATGACTGTTTGTGGGACACTGCTGTGCCCAATTGGCTGCCCCATTTCACCCACAAAATATACAGTGTATCCTGAGAAGCGCTTTGTGACATCTCAACAACATGATAAGGTGCTGTATCAAATGCAAGGATTATTATTATTTTACAAACAATGGATCCATGACATATTCTTAGGCTTCCAGTAAAATGAAGTGTTTCCCTCCCTTCTTCTGGGTTGAAATGATGACACCTTTGCACAAAATGCCATTTTGGATAAATGCCATTTTTAATATAGTCTCATCCCTCTTCCCCTTTAGTTACTGAAAAATATTCATAGTAGTCAAGGAATTCACACTTTGCACCAGTAAACAATACAGAGGATTTAATTCTTGCAACTTTTACAAGCCAGTTCATTCATGATTAATACTGTTTTATATTATAAGTGTTCAAACAATAGTAAATAGCAATTCTTCTATTCATCAGCATGCTGTAGAGGAACTCCTTGCCATGAGATTATGTCACAGGGAATATTAAAATGCAATTTTTTGTCAGAAAAAGCAACAGGCAGATGCTTACCATGTGGAAAAAATCATCAAAGCACTAATATATTGATTAACCTTTACATTCTGAAAACATGGGTCATAAAAATATCTATGTGTTTTATGAGGGAAGTAGAGAACCGAACACCAACAGAAAGAAATATTTTGAATTTCAATTGCAATGGTGTAGATTTTCATTGATTTATTATTTAACAAATCAGTAATTTTAAAATTGTTGAGAAAACCAGCAGTAGGTTACTGATAATGTTGTAGTGAAAACACCACTTCAAAGATTTAAAAAAATTCAATATAAAAACAAAGCAGCAAATTGGAGTGTTGATATTTTGAATTATAAATTATATTCAAAAATTGTGTTATTTAGCATTCGGGATACATTTGTTAACTCTAAAATTGCTTAACTTAAGTAAGGTGCCATGTTTGGTTGAAGAATTTTTCTTTAGGCAGAAAAATCAATGCGGTCCTCATGGATATCATCAATACTGCAGTTTTCCCATTCTAACCTCATTTTTATACTTGATTTTGTAAATCAAGTTATCCTAAATTCCAATCAGAGACAGATGAACTGTAGTTTTATTGGCAGATAAAACATCAGGCAAATAAAGAGTGTTTGAATAATCCAAGGCATCTTTTTACCACAACTCCATTCAATCTTGGGAATGCTCTTAAATTTCCATTATTGCTCCAATGATACTTTCTTCATTGAAAATTAGTTCAGCCCAGAGATTATAATTAATGCAGTGCAATGCCTCAACATTCAATGTTCGTTTTCTCATAAATTTTGTAGGTCAATTTTTAACTGTAATCATGAGCAGATGGAGTGCAAAGTGTGTTTTTCATCCATTTGTCAACATTCACAAGATAAACTTGTTTCTCATCAGAAAGGCACAGAAGGAATTATCAATCTTCTTTCAAACTGTGTTCTGAAGGTTTATTTAATTCAACTTTTACTCCCTTTTCACCTGTAGTCAAAAAAAAAGCAAATTACAGTAGAATATTGCAAAGTGCACATTCAAACAATAGAACTAGGTCAATTAAGTTGTTGACGCTCACCACACACCCACTCTTCCCTCAAGTCATAGATAATAGTTGGTCTTGCTTGCAGACACCTTTACAGTTGCCATTAACAATAATAATAATCTTTGCATTTGATATAGTGCTTTTCACGTCTTCTAGAAGTCTCAAAGCGCTTCACAGAATATACATAGAATTGACTGTATATTTGTGGGTGAAATGCGGCAGCCAATTGCGCACAGCAGTGTCCCACAAACAGTCGTGGATTGAAAATGACCAATTTATTACTGTGTTTTTTTTGAGGGATTATTATTAGGCATGTGGAGTAAGGAAACTTGTCCAAGGTTTTGCTCTGCCTGGAAATGAACCCAGGTGTCTCGCTTGCAAAGCGAGTGCTCTAACCACTGAGCTACAGGACTCCACTGAGTGGAGTGGGTGAGGGATGTGAGTCAGGTCGAAGCCTGCTGAGTGGAAGGAGCAGGCAGGATAGTAGGGCGTTAGGAGGTCACAGAGGTAGGGGGGAACATGGCCATGAAGGGCTTTGAAGGTGAGGACCAGGATCTTGAACTGTATCCTCTGTGTGATGGGAAACCAGTGGAGTTGGGCGAGGATGAGGGTGATAGGGTCATGGAGCCTGGTGTGGGAGAGGACACGGGCTGCAGAGTTCTGGATGATCTATAGCCTATGGTGGGAGGAGTTGGGAAGCCGACAAGCAAGAAGTTTGTATAATCAAGCCTCGATGTTATGAATGCGTGTATTAGGGTTTCGGCGGCCTGCGATGAGATAGTGGTGGAGCTGGGCGATGTTGCGGAGGTGGGGGAAGACAGAGCGGGTCATGGCATGGATGTGGGTTAGAAAGGATAATTGAGGGTCAAACAAGACCCCAAGGTTCCACAATGCTCTGGCAACTGATACTATTTTGTACCCACCCTTCCAACAGTTTGAAAAGACTCTCAAAATAACGCATACAAAGTAATGAAATACATAACAAGGAGGTTCAGGATTTGTTTTTGGCAGAGCCGGGTCTTACACATGCAGAATCACCATGCCTAGAGTATCCAAAACAAACAGAGTTCCAGAGTACACCATCTACACTTTGGAATTTCCAGGCGTCTGGAATAGAATGTGCCCTGTCTCCCCATCCTACATAATTTTGAAGAGTATAAGGAGAAGGTTGTCTTTACAAGGCTCGGGTACTCGAATGTGCATTGGGATACTGCTAGATTCAACCAGCTAAAAGTTGCCATTGAGAACGACTGTCAAGCTTACCGTTGCAGGTCCATCTAGAATCACTCTACCTGTTAAAGCTTTGGCTTGCACAGTCACAGGAATTGAGGGGGAAGAATCTCTGCTCCCAGTGTCCGATTTACCCCTCCAAGTCAACAGTGCTGACTCCCATAAGGATTGGATTTAAAGGCATAACCGTTTCTTGCATTTAACAAATTTTAGCCCAAAGATAAAAACACCCATGCCATTACAACAGGATTTGACAGAAAATATTATAGACTGGCTCACTTGATAGCACACTCGCCCATGAGTCAGAAGTTTATGGGTTCAAGCCCCTTGTTGGGAATTCCAGTTCATATTCCTTGCTGATGGTGCAGTGAAGAGAGTTTTTCCTGGTGTCCTGGCCAACAATCATCCAGATAAAATAGGTCATTCACTTCATGGCTATTTGCAGGACAATGCCAATTGTCTGCCATGTTCACATACACTACAGTAAGTCCTGTGAAGCACTTTTGAGATATTATTATTAAGTATTGGTCATTTGGACAAGTAATGCTGTAAATCTATGCAGTAAATCATGCGAAGAGTTTTGAGACATTGATGATGTGACAAGACACTATTTCAAGTTTTTTTTGTAAGCAGTCACTGCCTGGAGAAGACTGGAAATTGAAAAAAAATGCTTGAAAAGGGAACTTATTTTGCCATTTCTGATTATGTGTTTGATACCAAAGTTGATTCTTCTCTCAGGCACTTAACCTCACCAGCACAGAATAGAAAGTTTTTGAAATTCAAATTCTCCTTCAATTTTAAAGTGTCAGAAAACATTTATAGAAACAGGTTTAGGAGAGAATATGCCTAACAGTTCTCATAGAATAGGAAAGCTTCAAATAGTTCCAGTATATTTTCAATCCTTTATCTTCTGCTATTGTGTTTTATCAATCAGAGGAGGATCCCCCATCACTAAACTATTCAATGTGAATAATAACAACCCCAAATTCCATCCAAGGTTTCCACACCTTCAACTCAGTCTCTCCTGTATCCCTCTCCTCCCGTATGAAACCTACAACCTGTTCTCTTGACCTATCCCATTTCCTAACATGAACAAAACACAAAATACTGCAGATGCTGGAATCTGAAACAAAAACAGAGAGAGCTGGGAAAACTCAGCAGATCAGGCAGCATCTATGGAGAAAGGAAAGTGAGTAAACTTTCGGGTCCACGACCCTTCGTCTGTTCTGACGAAGAGTCGTGGACCCGAAACGTTGACTTGCTTTCCTTTCTCCATAGATGCTGCCTGACCTGCTGAGTTTTCTCAGCTCTCTCTGTTTTTGTTCCATTTCCTAACACCTAGTTTCACCCCTTTTCTCCCTTTTACGGACATCATAAACCTCTCACTCCTGACTGGCACTATTCTGTCATCATCTCCTTTTCAAGAAACCCTCCCTCGATCTCTCCATGCTCTCAAGTTGCCAACCCAGTTTCCTATGCCAGCATTCCCTGAATGGACCCCTCTAAACTGGTCCACAACACTGCGCCTGCCTGTTCAGAATACCTTACCTGTTAAATATTTGTCTTTAGCTCGTGTTCGTTCATCTGCATCAAAATACCAGACTGTTATGGCGTACCTAAAGAAATTGAATGTAAAACTATTAAATTCCTCCATGTTACCCCAACACTATCCAACAATAATTCATGACTGAATAAACTTGAGAATATTTACATAACACTTTTAATGTTGGAATGGCACTCCTACCAGATTAACTAGCCCTATCAATGGACCTATGACAATAATTGAAAATATCCAAATTTTGCATTTTGGTAATCTGAAGTACTGCAATTGCAACTAAAACAACATTTTACAGGTACAAAACAGGGATTGTGTTGCAGCCAGTGACATCATAAATATTAAATGAATGAGTGAAAAAATAACTTTTTAAAAATACATAAAAATAACTAATAAATAAAAACAAGAATATGTCTCATGGATGAGGGCCAGAACTGTATGCAATAGTCTAGATGTGGGAGGACCCATATACTGTAGTTTGAACATGACTTCTGAGGATCTAAAATCAAATGATAAACTCAAGTGGAGTCCTGTAGCTCAGTGGTTAGAGCACTCGCCTTGCAAGCGAGAGACCTGGGTTTGATTCCAGGCAGGGTGAAACGTTGGGCAAATTTCCTTACTCCACACACCTTTGTTTACCTAGCAGTAAGTTGTAACCTGGTCGTTACTTGATTGAGTACTTGCTCAAGAGTACTTGCTTTTCTGGGGGTAATAATTCCTTCAAAAATATAATAAAAAATTGGTCACTCAATCCACAGCTGTTTGTGGGACACTGCTGTGCTGTGTGCAATGGGTTGCCAAGTTCCGCGCACAAAATGTAGTCAATTCACTTTGCAGTATATTCTGTGAAGCGCTTTGATATGTCTCAGCAACGTGATATGACGCTATACCAAATGCAAGGACCATTGTTTTAAATAAAATTGGCTATTCGTTTCAGGTAGGGCAGGGGGGTGGTCAGGCAAGGTGTGGGGGAGGTCTAGGCAGGGCGGGGAGATGGGGGCCAGGCAGGGCGGGGGTGGGGGGGGGGCAGGCAGGGCGGGGGAGGGGGCAGGTGGGGCCACAGGGCCGGGGGGGGAGGGGGTGGAGGGGCAGGCAGCGTGGGCGGTGTGGAGGGTAGGCAGGGTGGGGGAGATGGAGCAGACTTATTGCAACATGTTCCATAGGTATTGATAACATTTGGTAAATGTGGAAGGTTAATCTATCATGCCTGCAGTTGCACTTGGAGAATGCACAGAGAAATACCAATCAATGACTATAATATTCTGCTTGCATTTTATTCAATGCATGAAACTAGTTGTAGGCAGACTGAAGCTGATAATGTAATTTAAGGAGCAGATGTTCTTACAAGATGCCAACAAAAGTCATGTGGGCAATTTTACTTCACCAGTATGCTGAGGTTACTCTCTCCTTGACAAATATATCTTATCCCTGCAGTCACCTTCCTTTTCTCTGCTGCTCAGTCAGGATTTGCACATACAATGCGATTGTTCAGCACTCTGAGATACATAACAAGTGTGAAGTGTACAAATACAAGTTGTTGTATCCAGCACACTCCAGCAGTATGTGGTATATGCAAAGACCATATCCAGCCCCACCCCCACTTTATCAAATCTTACCTTGTTGCAAATGATGGTTGTACTTCATGAGGGTTGCGTCGATCAGACCAAAAAAGCAGCAGCCTATCAAACTTTGGTTCAATATCAGCAAATTGTAGTTTACCTTCTGGGAAAATCCGAAGAACACCCCCCTGCACCTAACAAAGAAAAGAACAACTGTAACTATGACCCATTACTTACTCAATTTATTTAAGCTTCCAGATTCAAATCAAGTTTTCACTACACTATTAATCAATGAAGTTGGATGAAGATTGTTAATTATCAAACAGGTAAGGTATTACTAGACTCAACTAATACAATGTATTTTATATTTTGACTGTACCGACAAACACACAGTCACTCCATTTATCAGTAAATCAGGTGAATGCTTTGAGACGTCCTTCTGACATGATAAGGTGCTATACCAAATGTAAGGATTATTATTATTTGCACTGATCATTTGGTCTTTTAAGAGGTTTGTAAAAAAAAATCCTAACTTAATTGCATTCAAATTGTTCCAAATATATCAGAGGCAAAATATTGTTAGACCATTTGGGATTTCAATGGAAGTGGTCTAAATTTAATTTCCAACAAAACTTTCCTTCTTCAAATCCCCCACCCCGCTCTCAATTTAATTCTCCATTCCCGAGAACTCCTCCAAACTAACCTAAACACATTACTAAAATGGATTCTTGCCAAATCCCTCTTCCATGCAAAGATGCTAGAGAATGCTTTACAATTGCCACCTGTCAGCTATTTCTAACAGGTTACCATTCTTCACTTGTAAGGGCCATTATAGTTAGTTTTTACTGATTTTCACCAAAAAAATTCCAAAATATGATTGTTTTGCTAATAATAGATATTGAGTCCAAAATTTCCATATCGACAATGCACCTCAGGTGGCACAGATGTCTTGAAAAATTAAGTAACTTTAGTTTTACTTTTGAGGTCCATTGCAACTACATTATAAAGACACTTGACTGTTTACATTCATTCTGACCTTTTCTCTTAAAACTAGAAAAGGTGGTTAAAATTATTTTAAAAAATGTCTTGATCTTCAAGATTACTTTTCCATTTTCATAATAATTCTTATTAAGCAGTGAGCAGTATTATTCTTAGAGATTTATAGCTGCGAAAACACTTTTAAAAAATTAAACAGTTAAAACGGAAAGATTAATCTAATGATATCTACCTATCATTTGATACTGCAGAACACATTCAGGTAGTGTTGGCATTTGTCTACAAAATGGTAACCCCACTTTTACAGCAAATCCTATGAAGGACTTTGGGATATCCTCTGATGTCAAATGTATAGATTACATTATTATATTCAACAAGTGATGTACATGTGTGTGTGTTTGTGCTTTGCTTTTACGAGCACTGTGTAGCCTCCAGCAACTCGCTCAAACTCTCATTATTCATACGTGAGTTTTGACTCCAAGTGTTAGCAGATTAGACCCGTAGGGGGCATCACAGTCCAGCATGATCCTGTTTTCAACCGGCAAACACATAAGCAGATCCAGCAGAGATGCCAAGTTAGTCAACAAGAGTTTTTCTCCTCCCCAACCCGAAATCACCAAGTTCATCTAACTCATCATAGACTGCAATCAACCCAGAGACCTTCCTTAATTTTTCAAATAAAATTGCTGAAGACTTAATGGAATTTTAAAAATAAGCAATTTATACAGAAACCAGATCAATACAAAAATGAGCATATCTGGAGCTGACCTGATCTTGCAGTTCAGGATTCTTAAATTCAAGATAATAATTATAATATTCCTTGCATTTGATAAAACGCCTTTTACACATCAACAACAACAACAACAACAACAAGATTCCATTTATAGAGCGCCTTTCACGTCAGGAGGACGTCCCAAGGCGCTGCACAGTTGGGTCATGACCCGAGCAGGGGGGAAATGGTCAGGGTGAGGGGAGGGAAGGGAGGGAGAGAGGAGGGGGAAATGGTCAGGGTGAGGGGAGGGAAGGGAGGGAGCGAGGAGGAGGAAGAGAGTCGAGAGGGGAGCTGAAGGCTCGGTCAAAGAGAAAGGTTTTGAGACCGGCCTTGAAGGAGGAAAGGGAGGAAGCGGCGAAGGCACTGGGGGATGGAGTTCCAGAGCCTCGGGGCTGAGAGGCTGAAGGCCCGACCACCGATAGTAGGGCGGTTGGGGCGGGGGACGTGGAGCAGACCGGAGCCAGAGGAACGGAGGGTACGGGCAGGTAGGTAGGGGATAGTAGGTTGGAGAGGTAGAGGAGCAAGGCCGTGAATGGCCTTGTAGGTGAGGATGAGGATCTGGAAATCAATCCTCTGGGGGATGGGGAGCCAGTGGAGGTGAGCGAGGGTAGGAGTGATGTGGTCCCGAAGCCTGGTGCGGGACAGTACACGAGCTGCAGAGTTCTGAATGACCTGCAGCTTGTGGAGGGAGGTGGCGGGAAGGCCGGCGAGGAGAGAGTTCCCATAGTCCAGCCTTGAGGTGACAATCACATCGTTGATCTTGACCTAATCTTTATTCAGCTGTCGATCATTTGAAAATATGCTTCATACTAAAACTCTTGCAAAATTAGGATCAATAGCTAATATGCTTTTTAATCTATTATATAGATATATAATCTATTTATAATCTATTACATATAGAATAAAAAAAAATCATAAATATAAAATAAAACACAAGAATTTTCACCCGTGAGAAGTTAACACAGCAACAACAACTTGCATTTATACAGCGCCTGCACTTGGGGTAGCATCCCAGAGCGCTTGACAGTGGCGGAGTTTGATACCGAGTCAGAGGATGAGGGAGGTGACCGTAAGCATGATCAAAAAGGAAGTTCTTTAGGCGGGATTGGAAAGTTGGGAGGGGCAAAGCAGAGGGATTGAAGACCAGAGCTTCGGGGCGTAGTGGCTGAAGGCACGGCCACTGATGGTGGAACGGAGGGGGTGAGGGACAAACAGGAGGCTGGAGCCAGCCAAGAGGAGGCGGCGGGGTGGTGGAGAGGGGGGGTTAAGCAAATCGGATAGGTAAGTGAGAGGACCTTGAAGTCGATCTGTTCGGTAATTGGGAGCCAGTGCAGCCTGGCAAGGACTGGTGTGATGGTGTCTGGGAACCAGAGGAAATAAAATGCTTTCATTTCTTGTGGTTTGGAACTACAAAGGCTGGTGCCTCCAACTGTGTGTTGGCAGCCAAGAAAATATTAGAAGTAATTAAGAATTTCATTTTGTGTATGTTTTACTACAATTAGTTTTCCCCTCCTGATCAAGATGTTATTTACAGTCTAATATCATGGCGGAAACTATTATGGGTTTCCACACAGATTTGGTGGATACAATTTTTTTAAACAAAGCAGGTGGCACAACCTATATCACATCAGAAATAATGCTTCAGACCTACTGTGTAGCACCTTAGAAGTCACAAGAGGTCCCACCTACGAGACCACAAGATTGGTTATACTCCATGACCTTAATTTGCTGTTCAGCGCAAGTTCCCTTATTTGAAAACAAATCTTACTGTTCTCTTTTACCGACATCTCACAGACTCTGCATAAAACATTTTATCTCATGCTGACATAACTAACATTCATTTTCAATTAGTCAAGTATCATATTTTAGCAACCTCAGTTTGTTTTTGTTTAAGATGAATAAAAAAAAACCTTAGGTCAATTACATGTCTATGCTGACACTCCAGTGCAATGCTGGCGGTGCTATCCTTCGAATGAGACGTTAAACCAAGGTTCCACCTGTCCAGATAAACAGTAAAAATCCCATGGCACTATTTGAAAAGAGAGTTTCTACCAGAGTACTGGTCAACAATCCCCCTGAAATAAAAATTGATTCTTCACTTGATGGCTGTTTGCAGGCCACTGCTGTGCACAATTTGACTGCCACTTTCTCCTACAAAATAGTCATCACACTTTACCGTAAATCTTGCAAAACTTGAGATGTCCCAGTGTTGTGATAAGGTGCTGTATCAAATGCAAGGATCATTATTATAATGTATGGTGAGTAAATACATGTAAATCTTTTACTTCCACACATGATATTCAGTGTGAATTTATGCAATCATTAAAATTAAAAGTTTTATCTCCTTAATATATTACTCTTCCGGGGCGGGGGGGGGGAAGAGAAGAAAAGACATTTAAGGGTTTGGTGAGATTTTTTTAAAAAAACTCTCTTATTACAGAGAAAAAGGTAGGATTCTCATTTTAACAATACTAACCTCTTAACACATCCCCACCTTTGATCTTCTCCAGCCTCACTCTTCTGGTTACCCCCTCCGCTTAGCTTAAGCCACCAAAAAATATAAGGGTTCCCATTTCCTGTTTAGTATTCAGCACTTTCTGTGTAAAGGATTTGAGACATTCCTCTTCAAGAAGGATTTTAAATAAATACAAACTGTTGTTGTATTGGTATGGTGATGTCAGCTCTGTCAGGGTTAGGCGCTCTGAAGCGCTCCCCTTATACTTACTATATAAATGCAAATTGTTATTGACAACTTCTACTACATTACCAAACAAATTGAGAAATCTTTCACCAGTTTAAAATATTGGGTTTCAGAAATATGTTATTGTTTAAAATATTATTTTGATTCAGTTAGAAATGCTTATGTTTGTTAGCGAAACTGTGGAATGACAATTATGATAATAAACTGGTTGTTTGATCAGGTGAATGTTGTTTATAACATGATAGTCTATATTGAAATCATTTCTGACACTATGAGCCTAATCAGAATCAGCTAAATTGTAGAGTTTATGTCTAAGCTTGACGTATGTTAGGTAGTTAGCATAGCTTGAGATAAAATTTTATGCGAAAATGACAGTATGTGTGCCTTGAAGAGTTAAATTGGTTCAGAAGGAAGAAATTTGTTTATTACAGCTCTCTTGTTAGTTGTTGATATAACAGACCTACATTGTTTTAATCTGAATCAACTCATGGGTACTGTACCCAAGGATGGACCCAGCTTGTTTAAACCAGCCTGAAAACAACTAGCAGGTGGGTGAAGGCGTGCAGATTCACACGGACCATCCTGATATTTTTAAAAAAGAACAACTGTAAAAGAAGGTTCAGCTAAGCTATAATTTGTTCAGTCAGAATTGATCATCCTGGCATTCGACCGAGGTGGTGAGTGTTAGAATTTACACTTTTTGTATAATGTTAGAATCATAATAG